ATATCTTATAATGTTATTTGGTTTGTAGCAAACATCGAATATGATTTTTTTTTCATATTATGTTCTTTTCATATCATATTATATCAAATGTTATCATATCAAATATTAGTTACCTAATAAGAAGACTTAAATGCATATAATAGATATAGATATGTAAATAACTAAAAAGAATGATAGTTTTAACTAGTTAAAAAAGTTTCCATTTATATATAGAAATGAATCTAATTTAAAATAAAATATAAATAAATACTTTGGTGCTCTACTCATATCCTACTCATTTCATTTGTATATTGGGTTTGTTTGTGTTAATTTTTTTAATAATATAAGTTGTTTTTTTTTAAAAGAAATTAAATCATTTTTTTTAAATAATCTTTTTTTAAAAAAATTAAACAAACCAATAAATTACTAAGGAATCTATCTCAGTTGGTTAGCAGATTTCTTTTATATCAAATTTGTTTCCCACATAAGAATGGTAATGATAGTTCAATAATGTTGGGATCTCACAAACTATGTGCGGTTTTGAATCGGTGATCCGTGTTTTAATAATTTTCATATCAAAACGCATCGACAGTAATTAATAGTTTACATGGTTAATTTCTTCTCGGAAATAATTTTAAGGTGTGTGGATGATAATCCAACCACACTATATATTTGTGAATTTACAAAATAGCAAAGGTTTGTTGTCATTTGTGTTTTGAAGTTCAGGTTATTAAGAGTTCTATTATTTCTTTATTCATTGAAATTGAAGAATTAATTACATCCACGGGAAAGGAGTAGAGAGAATGAAGGTAGAAGTTAGAGGAATCGTAGTTTCTAAAGGAAGATGCTTAAATTAATTAAGGAAAGAAAACAACCACCTTTTGTTCGTGTTTTTTACATATATATATTCACACATGCTAACCATTTGCATAGCAGCAACTTGTATACATTTACTTTTGTATTTTTCTTCTTTGCTTAGGACTTAAAACTGACTTTTACTATTGTTTCACATCTTTGTTCTCCGACTCCTACGACTATTCTAGTAACCTATAGATTCCCTAGCTCACAAGTCATGGATCACAACTATGGAAGGCTTTTATTTTCACGATGATTACCTGCCCCAAATGCGCACCTATAGATACGTGCGTCCAGCGCATACATGTGCATGTTCTTAAAGTTATAACTTGCGACACAAACTCCATCTTCTAACTTCTCTGGGTAAAAAATACAGCAAAATATGTCTCTTACACTTTAATTTTTACATTACTCATTTACGTAATTCTTTTTTAATGTAATATAAAAGGGAAACTCGCCTTCCCCTTTTCTTTTTAATAATTTTCCATAAAAGATAAGTATAATATTATAACATTGATAAAATAATCTGATGTTGAAAATGGCGTATATTTTTGTTGTCAACGCCACTTGATTGTTTTGAAAATTAAATATTTCTGATTCAGATATTGCAGTTAGCAATGTTGATTTCTTTAACATAGTGGAAGAAAGTGGATAAAGAGGAAGCATTTAAAAAAAAAAAAAAAGGGAGTAATTGTGAGCGTGCAACATTGTAAGACATAAAAATATATAAATATATTAGTGTTATATTACTCATATGACATTTTAATAAAAACTAAAAATTTAATAGATATATGCCATCGATGTAAATTTTAGAATCAATTAAAATTAGTTTTGATGACTTTTAAAATTAATTATAATCAAAATTATCATACATAACTTTATATTTTCGATACATGTTTTTTCTTTTCTCATTAATATAATTTCATTGTACCATATTGGTTTAATTAATCCCAACCCTCCCCTTTCTCTAGCTCTCACACACGTGATTATACGTAGAAATTTTTTAATTATAAGCAGCACTTTGATTTTTTATATACTAAGAAAGTGATAGGAAGAAAAGAAAGAAAATTTTGGAATTAAATATGTGACAAGATGAAAACAAAAATAAATTTTAAAAAATTGTAAGAAAAAATTATATAAAAATAATAATAAAAAAGCATAAAATTTGGGATTAATGATTTGCCACACTCAATTGTGAGTCACAATAAACACATTTTTCGTAGCAGATAAACTAATCATAAAAATGTAAAAATATTATTTTAGTTTATAAAAATATAATATTAATTATATACTATATTAAGTAAGGGTTTGATATACCAAGTTAAACCTATTTTTTCAACTCCAATCAGAAAGTCGTAGAAATGAGTCAAAGGATTACTTAATAAGTGATTTGTTCAAACAAAACTGAAATAGGTGTTTTTAATTAATGTCTCAATTTAAATTTTGTGTATAAAAAAAATATGATTGAAAAATGAGACTCACACCAATTTTTTTGATAAATATTAGTCACCGACAAAGTTGATAAAGATGATATTCAAAACATAGTTACATCCTCATATGTCTACCTATTCTCTCCATGTTCCTACACTAAAAGCTATTTTGAAAAACAATCTTATAACTTCTAGAGAAAATTACTGATTAAAGTGATCAAACTTTTTTTTGGCAAAAATAATTTTTCATCATAAATATAAATTTTAAACTGGTTAAAATTTATTAAATTTATAATTTCAATTTTATCTTAACCCTGATAATTAAATAGTTTAAATTAAGTATTGTAAAAAATCACTTCTTATGTAAGTTACTATTAAAATTGAATTTTGAAAATAATTTAAATAAAAATATTATTTTTAAATCACTCCACTTAGCACATTGAGATATAGACATTATGTTAAATGAATATATTAATAAGTAATTTATAATTAATTTTTAAGATAACATTTTTTTGCAAATAATTATTTTCTTGTCTTTGGTCTACGGATATAGTTAGGAGCTTTATATTATATTTTAT